AAGGTGTCACTTCAAGGGATAAGGTATACTCAAGCCATGGTATTTTCAATTGTCTTATATGCATGTGAAAATTGAACAATTAATAAGGAAGACTGTAGAAGAACCTATGTATTTGAATTATGGTGCTGGGTAAGAATCTTGAAAGTACCATAGACTGGCAGAACAGCAAAGAAATCTCTCTTGGAAGAAGCATAGCCAAACTGTTCCTAAAAAGTGAGGATGTTGATACTTCATCTCTCATACTTTGTACATATTGTCAGGAGGGACCAGTCCCTTGAGAAGGACATGATATTAGGTATAGTGAAGAGTCAGCAAATAAGAAAAGACTACTAAGGAGATGGATTGGCAAAGTGACAGTAACAGTGGACTCACAAACAACTGTGAACATGGCACTGGGCTGAGCAGTGGTTCATTCTATTGTGCATAAGGTAGTTATGAATTAGATTCCTAATTCACTGGCACCTAACAACAGCAATAAAAAAAAAACAAAAACTCCTTCAGGTCCTCATTGACAATAGAGTAGACCATGAAAAATCATAACCTCAATATTGTGGTTTGTGTGACTCTTGATGATATTTTCCCTTAATGAGTAATTGAAGGTTTTAAATGTCTAAAACTGAAGGCAATCTTGACTGTGTAGCAATAAACATACCCAAATATACTTCTCAAATTATGGAAAATATGTTCACAACTATGAAAATGCTCTACAAATATAAGTCCTCAGCATTATTCCATTTCAGCAAAGAATGCTGAAACTGAAAAATAACTTTGATAAAAAAGAGAAACATCAACAAATCTCAGTGCAGGCTCCTTTATATTCTTATTTCTACCTGCACCATGCAAAACTTTGTGATGAATGAAAGCAAACTTAGATAAATGGTTAGGGAGATTGAAGAGAGAACACTAGATATAATTAAGACTATCACCAAAAGAGTAAATTCATGCTTTATCTGAAAGTTTAAAGAAGGAACTATATGAATTGTATTTTAAGGTATATGCAATTTTAAGAGTCATATTTACTAGATATGGTACTCTTGGATAAGCACTGGACTGCTAAATGAAAGGTTGGTGATTCACACCCACCAAGCCCTCCTCTGAAACCCTATACAGGGTTGCTACGTGTCAGAACTAATTCAATGTCACTTAACAACAACAACATTGACTCAAGAGCAATGGCTTTGGTTTTGTATTTTATGCCATATAAAAGAGTCAGTTGTGTAATATAAAGGACCAAATGGATAAAGGGCTAGTTGCATGATTTATAGAGGAAATAATAATTATTTTAAAGCAGAGATTAAATTCAAAGGGAAAGTAGTTTTCCAAATTGTGTGGTGGAGAAAGAAAGTAAAAAAAGGAGAGCAGGGGGAGAGAAAGAAAAGGGAAATTTTTAGAATGCTTCAAGATAAAAGAGAAAATGATTGGAGGACTTTTCAACTTCATCTCAGAATCACTTCATTTCACACAAAAAAAATACCCAATGCACAACAGACCAAAACATTGCATAGTCCTTGGGCAACCTCACAATCATTGCTACACCTGAGCCAGTCGTTTCAACCACTGTGCCAATCCATCTCATTGAGGGTCTTCCTCTTCCTTTTTTGCTCTGAGCCTCCACTTTGCCAAACATGATACCCTTCTCCAGTGGCTGGTTCCTCCAGATAACATGCCCAAAGTATGAGAGACGAAGTATGGCCATCCTGGCTTCCAAGTAGCATTCCTCTTCCAACACAGTTCTGTTTGTTCATTTGGCAATCCATGGTACCCTTTGTATTCTCCTCCAACACCA